GGGGGGGGGTCATTTAACAAAAGGGCAACACCACACTCTCAGATGGACCTTCCCAAAAGGCTGGGGCAGAGGATGGGTGCACCCTTCCCCTGGGATGTGGGATGTGGGAGATATTTGGGTGCCGCTGGGTACCACCCCAGGTCCCAGCTGAAGTGAAGCAGGCGATTTATCAAGGCAGAATCATAATTACGAGGCTGGCCGGGTTATTTATTCACCTAGTCGTGTGCCTGATCATCTATTCGTATTTTTGTTAATTATTTGTTTCGCCAAGACTTCGACTTTCTCTTCTTTGAACAACCCTGATCGTGAGAACTTTTGGAAGCAAGTTACTTCCCTCTCTACATAAGCCACTGGAACAGGAGGGGAGATTTGCCAAAAAAAAAAAAGTTAAAAAATATATATTTCTATAAATATTTGTATTTAAAATACATATATTTCAATCACCCCCCCATGTGTCTTAACGGCTCTGTGTGCCCATATTAAAAAAAAAAAAAAAAAAGCCCTACACGCCCTCAGGTGTAACACGAAGTCTGTGTGCAGCCGTACGCGCCTACAGAGACATCAGCAAACACACCTGACAAATACTTGGAAACCCTCGGATACACACTGAAGACAGGGGCTTTTCGAAATATTTTCCATTACTGCAAGGCAGGGACTTAAAACACTGATGTTATTTTAGTTTGAGCTTTCCAAATATTTAAAAATAAAGCAGATGAAAACGTATCCCTGGACTTAAAACACGCATAAACAAAAACCCCACACCTCTAAAAATACTGCCCTCTCCTCCGAGGCTCGGGCTCTTATCTCTGCCATAGGGCATCTGCGCTGGGCTTTAATTCGGTTCGAAAAAGCTGGGGAGAGGGGGCAGCTACCACCGAAGAAAGCGAGGATTTCACTTGAACGTTTTAAGGGGGAAGAAATCCACCTGAAGAATTATCTGTAACTCCATCGAAAACACCTGACCAGCAACAACACGGACTTCTCCAACAATAAACACGGGGAATTATATAAATAAGGAAACTTATCCCGCATCTCCCCTAAAGCCCCCGCACTGTAAATGTCTATTTTACTGCTCTCCAGATGAGCTTTCTGTCCACCGCGATATTTGTTTGAAATTTCTGCAAGGTGGTTTATGTCTCTCTCCGTCCGCTGCCTTTTTTTTTTTTTTTTCCCTCTTGTGAACTCGGTTTTTTCGGGAGGTCCCTCCGCTCGCCCAGCCCGTGTCCCGGCATCGGTTTGGGGGGGTCGGGGGACCCCGGCCCCCAGTACCTTCTCCCCTCGCTTTGCACCACGTCCCCTCGGACACAAGACCCTTCTTTAAAACCGATTTTTCCAGCAGCAGCGAGGTTCAAGGGGAAGGCGAGCCGGGAGACAGATCTATTCGCTAAAACTTTACACAACCAGCTCTCTATTTTTTTTTTTTCCTCCCTCTTCAGGCAAATTTTGGAAGACCACAACAAATACCAGATGACAGAGCAAAATGAAAATTTGATTCTGCGTTGTTTATTGTGCCCTCGCAATCTAAAGCTACTACTATTTATATGCGCGAAGGGGGTTTTTTCCCCTCTTCCTCCGAGGATTTTAATTTAAAAGCACAACGAAAAGAGCCTCTCTCGGGCTGCCCCCAGTTTGCCGATGGGACTGGAGAGACTATTTTACTGTGTCTCGCTGACTTAAGCACTCTTCGATTTAACAGTCCTCCAATGCATTAATATTAAGGGTAACATTAAGTTGCCTCAAACGCCCTCAAATATACACGCGTGCACATACAAATATCTATGGATCAGGTTTACGAAGCCGGTCATGGAATCGATTACGCCCAGTCCCAATAAAGTTGGATTTGCAAGGCTGTATATTTTTCTATACACCCACGCAGACAAACACACACATATAGAAATGCGTATCTGGACGCAGTTAGATCCGCATGCTATTTATTTGCGGACACATCTATGCATCTAAACAGCTTTGCTATCAGTATATAAACAGTAGCTTAAGACCACATATACTTTTAAATTGGGTGCCGTGGGTGTTCTGGGTATATTGGCCTCGGTGCGCGCAAAATAAATGAGAAAGTTCTGTAAACAGCGTAAGGCATTGCAAAATCGTAGAAGGGCCGAGCTGCTCCTTTAATTAAAAATAATAATAATAACAAAATCGCCCAGCGAGCTGCTCTAAACAAGGTTAGCTTTTGGCCAAGTAGTTGCAACTGGCGTTCGCCTGGAAAGTTTCCAAAGGCCTGAAATTGGGATTAACGATCCAACTGTTCTGGTTAAGAAAGAAGCCAGAAGAAACAATTTCTGCTGAATATAAGCTCGCAGGGAGGGCTTGCCGTCCGCCCCGGGGGCCCGGCCCTGCCGGGGCATCGCCGGGCAGGGCTCGGGGGGTGCTCCCGGGGCCGTGGGGGGCACACACACACCTACGGACACCCCCGGGGGGGTCTCGCACACGAGAGACGTGACCGTGCCAACGCCAGGGAGAACGGGGCTGCGGCCGCGGACCCGCACCCCCACCCACGCGGCTGTGCGAACACGCGTGCTCCCTTCCCTCCCGTGGGCGATCCCCCCCCAAAAAAACACGCACAAACGAAGGCAGATTCAGCCACGCAGGGCCCCCCCCCCTTACCTCCCGGCCTTTGTTATGATCATCTCCGTCCCCACTTCGTGAAATTTCAGCCACAGCTCCCGTTCGTGCAAGAACACTTTGATCCCCTCCATACCCTGCGAGGGAGGAAAGGCACAAACCATCAGTCCCCAGCGGTGCGGCGAAAAATCCCTCCGGGGGCGGCCGGGACCCCCCCCATCACCACCACCACGCTCCCGGTGGGAAGCTCGGAGGGAAAAAGACCGGGCTCGGGGCATTCTCGGGAAAATCCAGCCGCTTGTGAGTTTACAAAGCCGAGGAGAAGGGGATTCCAAGCTGGAGCCTGGTGATGCGGGAGTGGGGGGGGGGGGCTAGGGGCACGATCCTGCGGGCCTCGGTGCTCCCAAGAAGGGGAGAAGAAAGCGGGGAGCACCCGGAGCCGGCTCCTGCTCTGCGAAGCCAGCCGGAGGAGATTTACACCCCTCCCGTGAGTGATTTACACCCGCCGGCTCCGCTTCTGCAGGCTGGGGCGGCGTGGGGTGTCACCCCTGCTCCCCTCCCCCCCTCATTTCCCCCCCCCCCCAGCCCACGCAGGCTGGCAGCGGGGCTTGGTACTGCGGATGCCACCGTGGGGACGACACATCCCTCCACCGTGGGGTGGGAGGCACAGTGGACACCCCCCTTCTCCCCCCCCCCCAAGCCAAGCATATTAGTCCCCCCACAGAAAATGGGGTCGAAGCACCCGGCCAAACTTTTCGGGGGTGGGTTTTCAAATATACACGGGGACCCCAAGACTCAGGGCAAGAGCCCGGTACCGGTCCCCATGCCCCCACCGGCCCTCCTGCCTGCACCCCCATGGGTGGCATCCACGGCGGGCAGAGGTTTCCCCCCGAGGATTTACCTGCCAGGGGATAAACCGGGCTCTCCGGAGGGGCTCGGCAGCTGCTGAAAGCGAAGCGATCTCGGTGGAAAAGCCCCTCTCCCCACCTTTCCCCCCCCTTCTGGGATGCCCCGAGCCGGCTGGGACCGAGCACCGGGGGGGACGGCTCCCACCCGGCAGCGGGGAAGGAGAAGCCGAGATGGTGGGGGGGTCCCTGGCTCACTACCACCAAGGCCTGCTCTCCTTGGAGGTCCGCTGGGAGTTGTGGCCGGCGAGTCTCGCGTGGGAGCCCACGCGTGTCCCGGTAACACGCGACGCTCCCCTGGGGCGGGGGACGAGGGTTGATGGAGGGTGAACAGCCCCCGCTGGGCCTAGACCCCCGGATCGCTAGAGGGGTGCCCACGCCTGACACCCCCAACCTGTCGCCCGGGCCCATTGCGTGGGTGTGGGAAGAGCTGCGTGGGCACGAGTGGGGCCGTACCTGCGCGTGCATGCGTACGCCCGGGTGTACCAGGGGTGCGTATATACGTGTACGTTTATATCTTATACAAATACGCGCAGGCAGAGCAAATATATACACGTGCACGCGGCCGTCTGTGTGTTAGCGTGTGCATTTGTACGGTCACGCGTGGACACCGGTGGGTGCGCGCCTGCCGCTGCACGAGCGGGTGCCTCGCTCTGGTATTTTGGGTGCTTTTCCATGCGTGCTCCTCCAAGCACCCTGATATTCTCCCGTGCGCTTCCCCGCGGGTCTAGCGCTTGAACACGACCCCAAATAACACTAAAGCAGGATGAGGCCCACAAACAGGTGAGACTTTTCCCTCCCGTGGGGCCTAAAACGACTCATCGGCCACCCAGAGCTGCAGCAGCCACCCAGCTGAGCTGATATTTGGGGGGAAAAAAGGCAAAGAAAGGGGGAGAAAAAGAGCGAGGGGGGAAAGAAAGAGGAGCTTGGGTCCTTACCTGCTGGGTGAAGGCTGCTTGGGGCGAGGTGGGGGACTTGCTGGTGGCCCCCAGCTGAGTGTCCTGCTTGGCTTCAGCCTGGAGCTCTTTGGCCTCCGAGTCAGCCGGCGTGGTCGGGAGCCCAAAGCCTTCCTCGCTATCCGCCATGTTACGAGCTTCCTTCGCTGAATCCCCCACTGCAGGCACACATCGGGGAGAGAGCAGAGATAAGAGACGCATAAGTCAACGCTGACGTTTAATAAAATATATATATACACACATAGGCAATGGGGAGCAAGCCGGAGCGCTAGGCAGGGTTGCCCGACAAACCCGCGCTGCCCGCAACTCACTTCCAGCTGCCCGGGGAGGGAACAAGGCCCTTTAACTTTGGGAGAGGGAGAAATAAAGACTTTTATTTATTATCGCAGCCCGCAAGGGATGATAGGATTTGGGGGGGGGGTGGAG